CTACACTTATCTGCTTACATCACTAATGTAGCCCACCTGTATGAATCGCCTGCTTCTCTACCACCGATCGGACACAGTGACCACAATGTCATTATTCTGAAGTCCAGGACAACCAACCACACAAACAAAACCGTGACAAGGGCATTTGGTCAATGAATCACTACATACAGCTGGGAATATGTACTAAATGCCTTGACACACAATCCAAGACGGACGTCTTCTGTGACAAGATACGTAGCAAACTTGAAGAGCACTTCCCTAGCTACCAGAAGAATTAAGATGCACTATAACGATAAACCGTGGCTAACCCCTGAAATAAAGAACAACAGAGACAAAAAGAGTTTGCAAACAAGCACTACAGTGCCTGGCGTGTTACGAAACAAAATCCAAAGGAATATCAAGAAAGCTAAGAAAATGTTCTACAAGAAAAAGATGCAAGCCCTCCGAAAAGACAATCCCGCCTAGTGGTACCGAGGAATAAAAAACATGCTGAACACACGCATGAAGGATCTGTCACTTCAAATTAACGGCTTGCACCCCTAAAACGAATGCCAACGCTATTCCTGATGCAATCAACAACATATTGTCGCAGGTAACAAGATCACTTCAACCGTTAGACCTAGAACAACTACCCACCTTCCTTCCAGTGATGCCCCTTCCACTTATCAAACCTTGGCAAACAAGACTATGAGGAAATTTAATGTGCATGAAGTTACCTGACCACATTCTCGTGGTTAAGTCTGGACAGAAGTTTGACCTCCCGTGTGATCTTCCTGTTGAAGGCTTTACTCTTGGGGTCCAGTGGGATACGTTTGATGGCGTACACACATCCATCCAGCTTGTTCCTCACCTAGAATCACACATTACCTTTTATTAACACAGACTATTAACTGTTTTAGGATACTTCAAATAACAAAACATGATGACTTCTTGATTCAACACAGCTTGTTGTATGGAATTAAAAAGTGCTAAAAATACATACTATTAGTGATGCAATATTTTCACAACATACGTTACATAAATATAAGTTTTCTTTTGTTAAAACATGTTCAGAAACTGTGAGTTCCTCATTCAACATAGAGACATGATTACAGAAAAAAATTTGCATATTGATTATGAAATACCATCTTAATTCTAACCCAAGCCTGTAGAAAACTAAAATTCAATGCAGAATTCAAATGGCTAGTACTGATTCATTTGAATTTCAGCATCAGCTCCAATATGGCAGATGACCTTGTTAATAAACAAAGCAGTAGTGAGTTGTTAGTCTCAGGATCCTTTTCACTCTTGAGTACCAAAGGCCCCCTACAAATCCATTCCTATGGTAACACCTAGCAGCAGCGCCCCCTGTCGGAACTCACCTTAATGACATCCCCAAACCCTCCCTTCCCCAGCCACTCCAGCTCCTCAAACTCGTTGTGCAGGCGTGACCGTGACTGCCAGGACAGGTCTGATGGGTCCACACCTGAGGTGTCGGCTGGGGAGTCTTCCTCCTGCACACCTGGTCCACCTGACACAACCAGCATTGTGACAATATTTATTCTTTATAATACACGTACATAAGTTTATACTGAGTGAAATCATTCCCCAGCCATCCCACATCTATCACATCACTTCAGTAAGACACATCTAGAGCCAAATAGTTCCTGTTTAGAAGTTTTATTTGGTGCAATAGATGTTGGTTGGCTGGGGAATGAGTCCACTCTACTTTACAAAACAATGTAACACAGTTTTTAAACATAATAATTTTGTTGCTGAAACTATTCCTTAGACAATTTTGAAATTCTAAATGTGCATGATCACATGGGAACACAAAACATTTTACTGAAATGATAAACCATAATTCCTGAAGGTTTTAGGTAATGCTATTTTTGCATCATACAAAGAAATGCAATTTCAACCTCAAGTCATAATCATTTAATACTTAAAGGATGGAAGTATTGTTTTGGTCACGTTGATTAATAGTTTGTGTGTATGTGTTGAGTCCACACTGGGACCTGGGGAGTTGAGTCATTTGGCATTGAGTTTCCCTGCAATAAATTATGAATTCGGGAACTTGAATTGTGGAAGGAAGGTACTTCTTAAAATTATATGAGTTATGTGAAGTAATTCAATTGATTTTTCCCTGTTATCATACAGTACAATTCCAAAACATTTGCCTAATACACTCCCATAAGTCTGAAATCTCTGATTCCTGATGTCCTGATATGTGGACAAACCGACCTTGGTTGGATGGAGCCTGGTTGTTCTCAGCCAGAGTGAGGACATCTGTGAGGGTGGGTTTGAGGAAAGGATGGTCCAGTAGCTGCTGGGTGGACCACCTGGCCCTCTCATCAGTCTCACAACATCTACAAAAAAAGTAAAGGTAAAGGTAGTCCCATGGCCTTTTTCAGGCTGTAAGGGCAGTGGGTTGTTGATCCACTGTGTCTAGGGCACGGTATTGGAAGGCGGAGCCCATCCCTCTTCTTCTACTGCCTTTTACCTTCCCAACCAAAGTCAGGTAGTATGTATATCACACCTGGGTGGAGTGAGGAAAGTCATTCAAAGTGCCTTTCCCAAGGACACAATGTCTAGCTAGAAATGTCAGGGATCAAACCATTGACCTCTCGATCTCATGTCTACCAGCTTTACCACTCAGACATTAAACTAACGCCAGGGGGTCTGTGGGTTTAGTGGTCCCACACAGTTATATAGAAGGGTAGTATATTTCACAACACTGTAGATATTGACATCATAAAAATTTATTTTCTATCTTGGCTACTGTACACTTTTTCATCTACAGGCCCCTTTCCTTACCTAGAAATAAAGTCTTGAAAATCAGAAGGCAAGTCAGAAGGAATCCTGACGGGATACTCCATAACTTCTTCACCCATGTACAAACTCAGAACCAGCATTCCCTGTAAATATAGTTTAAGACTTTGTGCATGTAATATCATGGTTAACTACATGTACATATAGGTACTTGCAAACTTATAGAATACAGACTGGTGTATTCTGAATCACCCGAGGTACCAGCCTACGAGGTACAGTTTGGATTGCCTGAAAGCTGGAAGGAGATCCGACCTACAGAAGCGCTGGAACCGAGGATGATGCGGAATACAATGTGTTGTATTTTATCTATGTCATCCCAACCCAAGAAAACACAAATTTCAATGCAAGATGTTAAAGAAGATGAAAAAATTTGGTGTCCCTAAACAAAGACATTGTACCAACACATCATTTCCAATGTCCGAATCTGGTATTCGACTTTTCAAAAAAGGCAGAGAAAGAGAAGCAACAGATAACACAGATGTAAGAGAAAGAGGGGGAGGGGAAGAAGAACTCTGAAGAACACTCACCAGTCTGAGGATGTCTTCCCTCTTGCTGGGCCGTGCCTGCACCTTGTCATCACTGAACCTGACTCCCCCATGGCCAGTGTTCACAGCTGTGTACAGGTCTCCAAACCTTCATTGTAAAAACACACACGCACACTTAGTCAGGCTCAAAATCCTTTTTTCTGCATAACATTGAAAATGACCTGCACCAGACAAATTTCACCTGCACCACTCAGAATTTAGGAAGTATGGATCACACTAAAAACTGAGTCACGTGTATTAAATTTTGTAAACTCTCTAACTTGATTCTGTAAAATTTATAAGCCTTTTAAAAGTATGTCATAATACTGTATTACAATGAGTATTTTATCCTTAAAGCTACAATTAACAACTAAGATATGAAGATGTCTATAATTTACCGTTTCTCTATACTGTAGTCAGCTACTGCCAGATGCCCTGTACTATCCAAGAAGACACTTGATGGCTGAGAGAGATGTTAGAATCATGTCAGTCATACATAGCTGCAAAAAGTGTGTAAAGGAAAACAGATCAAATGCTTTACTGAAAACTGCAATATCAAATGCCAATTAGACACCTGTAAATGATGAAATCATGTTATCATTTATAGATTGGTTACATCTACCAAAACAAATGTTACAAGAACAGTGTCTATTTATTAAGTGGGTTCATGTTTCCAACTGTGCATGTCTAAATGTGTGTAAATGTCAAAATTGCTTTGTTTACAGGCTTTCAACTTTAAATTTGATGACTGTTACCTACAATACATTACACTGCACATCAACAGCTTAACTATGAATTGGCTTACTTAGAAAAGTTTATTTTGACCGACATACCCTGAGGTCCTTGTGCACGACTGACTTGTTGTGCAGGTGCTGCAGTGTCTCCAGCAGCTGCTCCGTGTAGCTGTGCAGGACTGACAGGTGCACTGGGATGCCATTGCTGATACAGCTGGCCAGGCTTCCTCCCCCAACATACTCCATCAACAGCTGGGGAAAGAAATATCATACTCATCACAGAAAATACTCTTAATTGCTGCACTCCTTCATTTACAGTTAAAGAAAGAACTCTGGTCCAGAAGCAAGTTTTCTTGTTCCTCAGATAATGGTTTTGGTAAATTTATCTCAAGTTTGACACTTGAATATGCAGTGCAAACTTTGTGGACATCAAACTTTTGAAACCCCCCTAAGGACCCTTTCCACCAGAATTCAATGGCCAACTTTGGGTATACTTTCTCACTAACAGTAGGGGCTATATCTGTATTAGTATAGCCGATATACTCTTCAGAGTTACACACAAGCTTTACAGCCACGCGGCACAGCGACAGCTAGCTATATTACACTGAACGACCTTTTACACCCAATCTTTCCACATTTAATTGCAGGAGCTGTTTAAAGCTTTCTGGTCATGATACCCCAACTGTGCTTGGTGGGAACGAGTTCCACTCTACGATAGTTCTTGGAAAACACAAGTTTTTGAACACCTCAGTTCTAGGTTGATAACACTGATATTTGAAGGCATGGCTGTTTCTTGTTTCTTTTTCTGGGCTGGGCTTAGTGGTTGGTAAGCACACTGTAAGGGGAAACTGACCTGTACTGTGATGGTGTTCTGATGTTGGGAGTGTTTCATGGCCAGGTACCTGACCAGTCCAGGGTGGTCCAGCTTCAGTAAACTCAGCAGCTCCTGTTCACAGCTGGACAGCTAAGGAAGCAACGGACAACAAACATGGATCATTGTGCAATAGGAAGTTTAGTACATATAGTTACATCAACAAGAAACAAGTGTCCACTTGACTTCTCATGAAAATAAAACCAATGCAAACATTTGGAGATTTACACTACCCAGAGTTAGGTGAGACCTCTAAAATCTGAGTTTCTTACATTCTAATGGCTAAGCCTAACAGACATAGCTAAATGTGCAGATTTTCTAGCTGGCAGTGATTTTTGTCTAAAAGCGGCAAAAGTGTGGCAGTTTCATTTTGGGGGAAAGGCCTTGATTGGGGCCAAAAGCTGGGCGGATACTGTTACAACTCCTCTCATGGATACAGCTCTCCCCGCAAAAAGAAACTGCCTCACCTAGCCACTCATAGAAAAAAATGCTGTCAGTCTGACCTGTTTGAGACACCTGGCGATGTCCTTGTGTTCAGCTGCCTGCTTCCTGCTGACATGAGCCCACTTCAGCACCCACTCCCTGACAGCCACCACCTGTCCACAGCTGCTGTCCATACCCACGTACACCAGGCTGCCACTGCTGTTAGGACCTAAGGTACGTGGAATATGTTTCTCATTAGGCCACACCGATTTGATTTGTTGGTTCTCGTTTTATTTTACATATGAAGCAACAGGGGGAAAAAACAGGCCTAGGCCTAGCCCCAAATGGCACTAGGGAATAGGAGCAAAGCAGTCAATGTACCGATACCAGGCTGATTATAATTCAAACAAAGAATTCTAAACTTTAAATCAATGTACTGCATTGACAACTAGAAAGACAGGGTCTTTTTTCAACTGTTAGTACCAGAATACAAGTATTTTGGAGTTGATTTAGAACCTAGATTTTTTAATAAAATACCCCAAAAATGAAAGAGGTAAATCCGAGAACCAATTGGTTAAATTGTTGTGGCTTTATCATCTTACTCATTATTCTCCCCAAATGAATATGAACATAAATATGTATATCATCATTAACCACCATAGCATGCATACAAAGTAAAGTATGGAAAAATTATCATTAGATTACTGATATAACAAAACCATTGAACTTCAGTTTTGTGTGGATGGTGTGTTCAGCACCGTGGACAGATGCCTGTAAAGATACATTGTGCGCAAGTGTCCTGTATGTTTGTGTAGATGGTGTGTTCAGCACCATGGACAGGTGCCTGTACAGATGTGTTATGCACCAGTGTCCTTTAGTTTTGTGTGGATGGTGTGTTCAGCACCATGGACAGGTGCCTGTACAGATTGTGTTGTGCACCAGTGCCCTTTAGTTTTGTGTAGATGGTGTGTTCAGCACCAAGGACATGTGCCTGTACAGATTGTGTTGTGCACCAGTGTCCTGTATGTTTGTGTAGATGGTGTGTTCAGCACCATGGACAGGTGCCTGTATAAATTGTGTTGTGCACCAGTGTTCTTTAGTTCTGCGTAGATGGTGTGTTCAGCACCATGGACAGGTGCCTGTACAGATTTGTTGTTCTCCAGTGTCCTGTATGTTTGTGTAGATGGTGTGTTCAGCACCATGGACAGGTGCCTGTATAAATTGTGTTGTGCGTGCACCAGTATTCTTTAGTTTTGTGTAGATGGTGTGTTCAGCACCATGGACAGGTGCCTGTACAGATTGTGTTCTGCACCAGTTTCCTTTAGGTTTGTGTAGATGGTGTGTTCAGCACCATGGACAGGTGCCTGTTCAGATGTGTTGTGCACCAGTGTACTTTAGTTTTGTGTAGATGGTGTGTTCAGCACTATGGACAGGTGCCTGTTCAGATGTGTTGTGCACCAGTGTCCTTAAGTTTTGTGTAGATGGTGTGTTTAGCACCATGGACAAGTGCCTATACAGATTGCCTATCCTATAGCGTACTGATAACTTAATACATTGTATCTATGAGCCAAAAATGCTTCAAACACTTCAAAAATAAAATCATGATGAAATTGTGCTAAAAAAAGGTAATAAATGTTAATATCAGACAGATTTCCTCATCCAGACTATTTTTTGTCATGACACCCTGAAATTGCATTAGTGTGTGATGAAATGGTAAACTTGCCTGTTCCAATACACCTTCCCTTACTGACAGCCCTCTCCCCTCTGGTGGTGAAGACTATAACCTGAGGTCCTGTGTACTTCTGATGCTCCGGGGCTTCTAAATTACTCTCAGAGATGGACCTCTGTCTCCTGACGATTGTCTGGCGGTCCTTTTTGATAGGTTAAAAAAGATCTTAATACTATATATAATTGTTTCTTACAATTTCATTCATTCATTCACTTAAAGTTACGAAGCAGAACTCTTACATTTAAATTGTGCAGATCTATGAACATAAAGATTGCAAATATTGAAACAACACTCAAAACCAAGGACCAAGCCTAATAGAGACACTATGAAATTGACTTATACTATGATCATAAAAGTTGGTGTTGGTAGTTACATCTTTAAACTAAGGTAAAACCTTTCTTCCAATACAAAAAGGTAACTGTTCTCACCTAGAGCTTTTGACCAGTCACTTTGGTCTTTCTCAGTAGACTTTATTAATAACACAATGAAATTGACTTGTTGTAAAGTCTAATTGCAGAATGTAAGGATTGTTTCAACCGTTCAGTTCTGGCCATGGGAAGAGTAAACACACCTGTGACCGCTGTCTGTCAGGACCTCCGCTCTGGGACCTGGTTCTAGTTGGAGTCTCCTTGATGGGTGACCCTTGTCTCTTGTGGGACAGACTCTCAGTGGACGGAGACTCAGACAAGCTTGTCTTGGGGCTGGCCTGCTCTGAGGAACTGCTTCCATTGCCTTTCTCCTGTAATAGTTTATTCAAAGCAACATTATGTAACACAATTGGGACATTTCTTAAAGTTTACTTTTTTTGTAAGATGAATCAATCCTACCCCATTACATGATGCCATTCTGGGAGTGAAGGTTTAAAATATGATGCCATACTACACAGTTTGAAATCTGAAAACCTGTCAAATCTTTGTTTACATTCTTGCAGTACGTATTTTGTGGTGGTGTCACAAAATTTGTGAGCATTGTTTTGCCACAAAAATATTCTTGAAATGCTTTGACATCATGACACGTTAAAAGTCTGAATGGAGAAAACTGTTGGTTTAAAAATGAAGTCATCAAAGTGTAGTATGCATGAAACAAGCTTAATCTTCCAACAACAACCTCAAGATAAATTCTGTACATATTGCTAGTCATAAAAGTCTAGCCATCAACATATAACAATTATTTAAAACATCATTGACAATTCTAGAATAATCAACTAACATCTTCCTGCTCCATCTTCTGGTTTCTTCTTTTCCTCATCTCCTCTCGGATCATCTCCTGTCTTCTGGTGATCTCTTCTTCCAGCTCCCTCCTCTAAAGACGGGTCAGAAACAGAAAAGGAATTTCAAAGTGATCTTGATCCAGTTTTAGCTTACTGAAGAGCTGTTTTGCCACTGGTTGTGATAGAGAAGATTAAGAGAGCTTGATAATAACAATGATCCATGGACAAGGACATCTTTTTGCAGATGTGCTATTTGTATGGAAACACATCACATGAGAAGGTTATAATTTCTGCTAAAAGTGCTTGGTAGATTATCAATTAATGTTTCAACTACACATATTTGTACTTTTCAACTTTTTGTATTTTTTAAGTGTTATCATTATTGTTTATTTACAGCATTGATGTATGATTGTATATTCTAATTTTAGTGTCTTTTGGAGAGGAGACAACTTGTTAGTGTAAACTTTATCACCCCTTCATTGTACCACATGGAAACTGAAATAGACACACTGGGGACTGTAATATAGAATACCTCCTTTTCCTCTATTCTCTTCTGCACCTCCAGTTTCTTCTGTATCTCCCTGGCCACCTTCTCCTCCTGTCTGCGCTTGTTGGACATCATCTCCTCGTAGAAGGACCCTCGGGGAGGCTTGTTGTGAGCGTGGAGGAACGTTTGTACGTGCTGGGCTAGGTCCAGTAGCATCACCTATGTTTTACATGGACAAAACAAAATACAGGTAGTAAATTGGGTTTTCTAGCATTATAACAATGAGGGTCTGCATGGGGGAATCTTAGCAACACTTTATGGTAAATAATAGGAGAGTCAGAAATACTTCATGGTAAATTCACAGAAGATTGTGTAAAGCTTTGGGTAATAATCAGACTGTACACTTTGACATGTGGTGTCTTGCAAAACTAAACAAATGCTATCTGTTGATGGAGTGTTGTCATTTTGGGCAATCCGGCATTCAACTACACCATAATTATAGGCACCAAAAGTGATTTCAGGGCAGTAAACTGTATTTTCACAGTCAATTTCATGGTCATTTTTTAAATGTAGTACCAGTAAGTTAAATCAACCAACTTTGATTGAAGCAAACATGTGATGTCACTGATAGAAAGCTGTTGCTTGTTTTGTATTGTAGGCTGGATCTACATGTAGCTACATACATGTATTTATTTATTTTAGTACAGTATGGTACTTACTTCTCCCAAGTTCTGTTGAGCCATTTTATGCAGTTCATGTTTCAGCTGTCGTAGGTTATCATCTGAAAGGCCTTTGCTGTTCTTTAAATCTAGCTCTGGTTCCCTACAATCAGAAAAAGAGAAGAATGAGAAAAAAAGATGAAAGATAAGAGCTTATGAAATAATGTTTGAATTTCAAACATGTATCATATGGGGGCCTGCAAGGGGGGGGGTCCCGCTGAATTTGGAAACTTCTCGATTACGCTTTACGATAAATTCCAAGTGGTTACAACGCATTACATAGAATTAAAATGGCGAATATGCTCTACGGAAAATGCGCCGATTACGCTCTTTGAGAATTAAAACGGCTGATTACGCTCTACGGAAAAGGGCTTGTGGGCCCCCTCATATTGTATGCAATATGAATGTAATCCCATTCATGAAAAATGAAGTGTTAATTCTTGCCTTTTTTAAACAGATTATGATTTCTGAGGTGTGAAAGTTTGACTTACTTCTAAAGGGATTAAAACCAGCTGATCTGCCAGATTTATTATGCAAAGTACTGGAGCAAACAGAGGCCCCTGAGGCCCACGTTGGGGACTACTTACTTCTGGGGACAAACAGGTGTTTACTAGGCATTTGTGGAAAATAACAGACATTAATTTTTTTTGTAAAATAGTTAACTTGAAATTCCTAAAGACTAACTATTAATTACACTAATAGACTCACCCCTGGGGCGTCACCAAAAAGTTACAGATGAGTAGTATATTGGAGACTTACACGTCTGGGTAGTTAGGAGGACATTTGATGAGCAGGTCGACTTTAGCGTACACGTCTCCTGTACCGTGCATGCTCTGCTGAGGCACCAGGGTCAGACACACTTCAGGTGGTCGCTTTATCTGGGGAGGAAAAGGTAGGTGTTAAAACATTTAATTTGTACTGTGTACCATATATCAAGTCAATCTATGCAAGCCTTCTAAGTAAACTAAATTTGTTCAAGACAGACCTACGGACATACAGGAACACTACCAAAAACATAACCTTTTTAAAAAGTTCAAAACGTTTTGCTATAATTTGTAGAAATTGTTTAAAAGTCGTTCGTCAAAAATTATAAAACTTAAAGTTAAAAGTGATTCAAATATTCAACAGATTCAAAGCCACCGTTTGATTTCTGAAAGTTTTGGGGAAATGTTACTGATTGTTTTTGACTATAAAATGAATTCATAAGCATCAGACTCGCTATTTGGTCAATGGTTTCACAAAAAAATGTAGCGAGAGACGAAACAGGACGGAAGCTATACAGACCTTCCAGGCATCTTGGTCCCTCAAATCCTTGAAGTCGTCGACGTAAACAGCGGAGAGAAGTTCCACCTCGTTCTCCTGCCTCTCCTCGTACGTCTCCTCCGCGTCTGCCATCGTTGTGACGTCGGGAGCTGCTCATACAGGGCTTCCGTGTGTACAGCTACGGCCCTACTGATTCTAGAAGGTCCTAAATGGACATCTTCGGTCATTTTTGCGAAAAATAACTCGAAAACATTCGTGCAAACCTTCCGCCCGTAGCCATGTTTGTTACGAATAGTTCACTTCTCTTCGAATTATAGGGGAAGTGATTTTACTAGATCTAACAATTCTAGTTAGAAGCTAAAGAATATATGAATCCAGTAATTTATATATTGAAGTAACCAAAAAAAAGATGACTTTTTTTATACATATTAGAAGTAATTTGTTTTGAAGCGTTTAATATGTAGTATGACAATACAAGTTGGTAGCCCCACGTACAGAATGGTAACTTCCACTGTGGGTCAAAGTTGAGCAGCAAAATCATGGAGGCGACTAGCAAGAGGGTGGGCGATTCCGTTTCTAACAAAAAAGACAAGAAATCTGGCGAGAAATCCGCGGATACTGTCCCACCCATGGACGAAGAGGAGTACCAACTACGCAAGAGGCTCCCGCGGAAGCTTCCCAAGCGGAAGAACGACATCTACGTCAACATGCAGTCCAACTTCAAAGGCCAGTTGGAGCGGGCTCAGAGGATTCTGGATGCGGGTTCGAACGAGGTGTTCATCCACGGGCTGGGCCATGCCATCAACCGGGCCATCAACATAGCGCTGCAGCTGAAGGCGAGGGGACTGGGGACTATCGAAGTGTCCACCAACACGTCCACGGTGGAACTGATCGACGACTTGTATCCAGAGAATGACGACGTGTCCTCAGAGGTCCAGTCAAGAAACAATTCAGCTGTACACATCCGGGTTTTCAGACTCAGCTCCTGATAAATCCAGCTGTATGTACAGCACCTGATAAACTCAGCTGTATGTACAGCACCTGATAAACTCAGCTGTATGTGCAGCACCTGATAAACTCAGCTGTATGTGCAGCACCTGATAAACTCAGATGTATGTGCAGCACCTGATAAACCCAGCTGTATTATTTGCAGCACCTGATCATAATAAACCCAGCTGTATTATGTGCAGCACCTGATCATGATAAACCCAGCTGTATTATGTGCAGCACCTGATAAACCCGGCTGTATGTGCAGCACCTGATAAACCCGGCTGTATGTGCAGCACCTGATAAACCCAGCTGTATGTGCAGCACCTGATAGACCCTGCTATATGTGCAGCACCTGATAGATAGCCTGGAATCCATCCCTACAACTGTCAAGCTACGGACAGCAGTCAGACTACTAGAACCGGCAACCGCCAACTAGAACCGGAGGGATGGATTCCAGGCTACATGATAAATCTAGCTGCATGTGCAGCACCTGGTAACATATGTGCAGCACCTGATGAAGCCAGACAGCTGTCACCATGGTAACTGGTGCTGAAACAGACAGTGGAATTGAATTACATTATGTAGCAAGTTGCAGAACGGGCTGGTCACCCCACATGTATATATAAGTGCGTTTTTGAGTAAAGATAAACAGAGCAGTTATTAGCCTAGACCAAGTAAGGTAAACATGATGTAGTGTATTTGAAAATTATGACGAGGAAAACCAGGATTCATTCTGACTTCTAGTTCTACCATAATAAATTTTCTCAAGATTAACATCCTGTCTTATGTCTTGTCATTTCACTGGGAGATAGGAGTTGAGGAGCAGTAGGTCAAATGAAGTTCTAATTTTCTTGATAGACGTGTACCTGCTGGTACATGTATTAGTGTGTTCTTTATGAAAAAAATGCAAAAACATCTAGAAAATGGGTTCTTGGCTGTCAAAGTTATAAGAAGTACACAACTGGTTGTAACACAAGTTGCATGACTACACCAGAATAAAAAGAATGTGAAAACCTAGCGATTGGTTCAGATACTTCAATTTGTTCTTTATTGCATCTTAGGGAGTAACAAGTGGCATAACAACATCATTGAGCACTGAATTAATGTTCCACACTTTCAGTTCACAACACCTGGGTAGAAAATGCCATGAAAAGTGCATTGTATACTGGGTATGTTAATTGCTAGAATTGAACACAAGTATTGATAAAAAATATATTCTAGTAGTATCTACAGTGGTGCAAATATTTCTAGAAAAAAATTCCTGAGTGGATTTATTGTAACCTGGGTGCCATCCTCCATAGTTACTGCCAGCTCCATATTTAGCTGAGAATAATTGGCCAGGGGAGTTTGGACACTATTTTTGCCGTTCAAATTCTACTATCCTAACTCCCTTGCGAAGGCCTGTTGGAGGCTAATCTGCAACGGTGATAGCAAATAGAGCCAGCAGTAAGTACGGAGGATGGTACCCAGGCTAGCTTCATTGGGCACAAATTATTAGCCTCTACCATGCTTCAGGAGGCGACTGGAAAGAGTAGAAATTAGCCAAATAGAGAGAGATAACATGCCAGGGGAGTTGGTCCGCTACAGAGTACAGTTCAGTACTTTTCTTTTTTCAAATTTCTACTCTTCCCAGACGCCTCCCTTAGCCTGGCAGAGGCTAACAAATCATTACAATTGTTGTGGAAGAACAGAATGCTACAGAAGTTGATATGCTTGTGAATTCTATCTCTACCCCACGAAACCTGTTGCAGTGTATGGCTTTTTTTTTATTTTTGCCAAAACCAATTTTTTTCTTTTAAATACTGGAGCTAATAGTGGACAGAAAACGTTTGCATTAAAAAAAAGTGGACGGATAATAGTTGAGCTATGAATTGTTTTCAAGGGAACATGGGAATCCATCAATCATTTGGCACTTTACCAGTGTTTAACTGGAATAGCGAACACTTACAAGGTAATTACAATATACATGTACAGCAATGTGTCTATAATGAAGTATACGTCTTACTTTTTAAGGCACCCAAAGCGATTTCAGGGCAGCAAAACTGGATGTTTCAAGTCAATTTTCTGGCCATTTGTTTTTGAATCCACCCTTCTCCATAGCATACTGATATCTCAGGCAAAAATGCAATGCTTATTTCGTATTGTAGGCTGGTTCTTGCAATTTATTGGTAGTGCCAAATAATAAAATAAGCTGTTTCAAATGAAGTATGAAATGATGATGAAAATGTGCTGTAAGAAATGGCAGTAAATGTCAATATCAGACAGACTTTCTCATCCAGAATATTTTTTGTTTTGCCGCCATGAAATTGCATTGGATGTCTTTACAGTACATACAACTTTCAACAGTACAAATTTACATCAAGTGAACTTGAATCTGCCCATTCTAACATGAGTGCTCAGTGGTCACTACGGTTTTTACTTCAGGTTACTTAAGATACTATTTCTATTCCTGAAGTGTTGTACATCTTAAGTTGTTGCCAGACAGTTGTACGGTCTTCAACTATGTCTTATCTTGTCTTCTATGTACTATATTGATCTAAAATTGATTACACTTGAAAAGCTATCTACAATACACATTTCAATGGACACGGATAAATTTCTTAATCAATAAATAAACCTATGTATAATTTCTCTCTTATTTTGTAACATGAGCTATAAAGTCGTCAATAGTGGAATTTTATCTTTCATTTGGTAAAACCTGACACATAATAACTTTTTTGTATTTTTTCTCCATTAAAATTTTGTTGGCTGTACAACACATATAATTAGTAGCACCTGAAATGTTTAAGCATCTACAGTATGGAAAACAAGTGCTTTGTAGTACAATTTGGTGTTATCAAATACTATTTAAAGGAGTACTAACCTCCAGAAGGAGGTGCTATATTTCGACAGGCATTTATTATTGGAAGTGAAAAATGCATATTATTTTACAGTATACAATTAAATGCCCATTTTGCGCGCAAGTCTTAAAACGCATCGAATCCAGGACAAACTCTCCAAATACCCTCAAAACTATCCCAGAATACACCACGCTACCCCATTGGTGTCTATTTTTAAACAAAAAGTTACGTTACAGACTTTACTTCGGGGGCGATAAGAAAAATTCGTACCGTTTTGTGTTCTTTGGTATCTTACCAACCATTGCCCTTCTTGGTGTCCTTATCGCCCCTCATTTATGCCGCAAATATTGACGATGAAAAAAACGGCGTAATCTAGTTATCCTTTCCATAAGTGGCGTAATATAGTTATCTGTTCAAGTAATACTTACATGCAAATAAGTTGAGAAAATCAAACACGCAGCGTGAAACTGGCGCTCACTGTATTCGACATCCTGACATTATAATATCCAAGCCACAGGTCAAGCAAAGTAAAGCAAGTAATTTCTCAATAATCAGCTTGTTAGTGTGCTTGTCTCCTACCATTTTCGCCAAAAAATGTTAATGTTGACCTGAAGTGTATGAGCATTGCGTAAGCCAGAGTTCCCGGATGTATCAATAGTGGTTCAGCATGGGGGAAAATCATATTAATATCACTTTACAAACATGCGCCGCGCAACTCGTACAAGCGAAATTATGTAAAAAGTCGGCTAGTTATGTATTTATTGCAGCATGATGTATCGGAAAATAGCACTTCCTTCTGGAGGTTAGTACTCCTTTAAAGATTAGAAGCACCATGGCAGATGGACAAAATATTGTGTGCGAGATACAAACTTGCAGCTACACAAACAACTCTTTCTTTTAACACTGAGTGTCAATATGACATATATCATTGAATTTCAAAAGCTACTTACTGGCCTATCACAACATACTACATGGCATGTATAACTTCAGCAAAACACTTGAAAAAGTTTCACTAGCTGAGACTGACAACATCAGGAAAACATTTCACCATCTGGTTTTACATTTCAGACCTTGTTGCAGAGGCATGCTTTACAGAAACGACATAGGAACTTTCCCTGTTTTGTTGCTAGACATGTGATTTTACTAGTTTTGACCTGTAGTACCTGTATAGTTACTTACATTTACACCATGATTTGTTAGAATTCCACAATACTCTACATTAGAGTTACATTTACATTGATGCAATCACACATACATCACAAATTATTACTTTCTTTAGATAATCATGACAACATTTCTTGAAGATTTCTTCAATTGGCATTGATGGCTTATCCATGCAATTGGTACCTTCACTGTGACCAGGTGTCATTAATACTGATATCAAACATTCATTATAGTTTCAACTCCAGTATCCATATGTACACAATCTGGAGGTAAAATCATAATCATAGTACTAATTTTTTCTATCTTTTCCCTTTTGGCTATACAGGTGCTGGGTGTTTTGACTGAAAATATTTTGTCACTGTCATTACTACTATGCAAATGTCTGTGCTGCATACTAGTACAGAGTAACAAACAAGCAAATTCTATACCACTGTTCAAAGCAATGTGTAAATTTTGTTGACCTAGGGAAGAGACGGACACACATGTGGCGTATATTACATGGTGTGCCTCTGAAGGTTTGGTATTCTGACTCTGTATATGCCGGCAGAATGTACTGCGCCTGTGCGAAACCCAGATTTTCCTCAGTTTTCGTTGGATGTTTGATCAACAATGTTGCATCAGAATTTTGCCCGTTGAAAACGATACCTTTTCCAACTCAACATTTGAAAACCTTAGAAGGGGTGTCATCCTTAAATATACAAATGCAACCTCAATTTAGACGTTCTGAGGTGCTATACACAATACATCATGGGTTTCACACAGGTATTTCATGTACGTTTAGCCAACATGCTGGTATTCTGGAAGTACATGTATGTTGTGACCATTGGTCTGTAGCTTTTAGCGAAGACAGTTTTTTTAACCAAAAAAAAGCACTGTTAGCTGTTCTCCTCCACTTCTGGGTAGGTTGGGTATTTGACCAGCTCTATCTTTTCCTCCACCTTGTATGACGGATACAGCCCGCTCTTGTGTGTTCTCCTGTTCACACCTTTAGAGTACCCGTCCCAGTGGTTCCCGGCTATGCCCACCTCGTCTCCCGGCTCCAGGTAGATTTCCTGCTGACTTCTCCGCTCGTGTTTGGCGATGGCGACCTGGTTGTGGTCCCCCTGCCCCCCGAAGTAGTAGATGTCGTCCAGCGAGTGGAAGTTTGCCGCCGCGTCTGGCTTCAGGGTCTGCATGATCTCGTAAGCAACCCGACAGACCTGTGCAGGAAAAGGACCTTTTAAACATCTAAACAAAAATATACCATATACATAATGTATGTGTAAGAAAGGGTTACTCCAAATATTTTAGTTGTATTATAATGTATCATTTTGTATTATGATAAAGATGTTTTAGTGTATGCATCATTTTAAGTTGGACACAAGCCATGAAAAAGGATCCTGTTATTTCTGTTTACTGCATTGTAACAAATCTGAAAGATTTTGCACTGTGTCAATTTATGTTGTTCATGGCAGTCCTATTGTAGATTGAAGCAAGGTATTCTAAACTTGCCATTTTGCATGAAGTAGACGTGTCGTAATAATTTACAGGGCTCAAGATTGCTCAAATCGTCATACTCAGAATCATTGCAGTGAATTTGAACAGCTGCTCAAACTGTATTATAACTGCAGCAGTATGACTGCATTTTGAATATTGCTTGATTCATGTTGATTCAGATTAAGTGTGATTGTGAAGGGGTATTAACAGATACAGGGAAAATAATTTGTAACATTCAAGGTGGTGTAGTGGTAGAGCATCCGACTGTCAAGCAAGGAGACCCAGGTTCAATCCCCAGGGTTGGACCCAGACATGTCCGGACATGCACCCAGACATTGTCCCCTTAACACATATTTCCCCCCCTCAGTTAAAGGGATCCTGGGCCCTACTATGGTTTGGGTTGGCGTTAGGAAGGGCATCCAGCCGTAAAAATCTTGCTTAAAAAAAAAGACTTGCACTTGGTCTAAAGGAAAAATGACATTAAAATTGGATTTAAAAAATCAAGACATCTGCAACACATGTTTCAGCGTGACTCGGAGGACTCTGTACCCACCTGAGAGGAGAAGGTGCAGACCAGGTAGTCAGAGTGAGCCAGGAAGTGGATGTCGATGATGACCCCCCGCAGAGCGCTGTCCGTGTACCTGCTGCTGAGCCCCGCTGACTTGGAGATGGCGTTATCACTCACAAACTCATAATCAGGGTACCTGGTGGGGACAGGGTACAGGTGATGATGATGACAAACAGTCAAGTAACACATCAGCAGAACATACATGTGAATTCGGGATTTTTCACATTTTTCTTAAAAACATTTTCGACGTTTGGTCGACGATGCATAAGAATTTTGCCCATCACAGGGGATGTACATTCCAATACAACATTTCAAAATGTGCAGTTTAAACCATGAACAAGCTTATACTCTCCAGTTCTGTAAATTATATGCGTTTACATATGACTTACTGTTTTTGAGCTTCTTTTAACAGACTGGAGTCGTCTGTTGCCAGGTAGACCCGTTTCTTCTGGACCTCCTCTGATTTCTGCAGCAGCTGATAATACTCCTCCACCCACTCCATGTACTCGGCTATACTGTGGTAGGCTGCCTCTGTGTTAATCTTGTCTGTTCTTCTCACATGAATACTGAAGGAAATCATGGGATAAAGAAGAAATTGAATTGTTGCGAATGTGGAAGAATTTCTTGCTGATTCTGTTATTGTCACTTCCTCCCAGCCTGTGAGACCACTTTGACCTCCAATTCGACCCTCCTCCTGTTAGTCAGTTACATAATTTCCCTCTCACTTCCTGTGACTCTACTATATATAATAATTATATATAGTAGAGTCACAGGAAGTGAGAGGGAAATTATGTAACTGACTAACAGGAGGAGGGTGGAATTGGAGGTCAAAATGGTCTCATAGGCTGGGAGGAAGTGACAGTAGCATATAGACAGAATTAGCAAGAAATTCTTACACATTTGCAACAATTCAATTTCTTCTTTATTATTATTACAAATTACAACTGTCACACATAGCCAAATATGACCTCCTGAACATTGTTAAACTCCCCCTAACCATGGCTAAGTCCCATGGTCCAGAGTATGGTCAGCTGTGGTTGGCTAGAGTTCGGTCAGCGATCACTGTTCAGCTGTAATGTTTTAAAACATTCAGGTGTCGATGGGAGGCCTGGTGGTTGGCTGTTGTTCGAAAGTAGGTTAGCCATGTTCTGGGTATGTTCCAGGGTCAAATTTAACTCAAATTTGATTCGATCATGTAGGTGTGGCCTAAATCTGGTCAGACTTCATCCAACCTTAGTTGGTGGTCAGTAGGAAGGTTCTGATTGCATGATATGGGCTTTACTTTTTCCCTATCCTTGTCGCCTATTGTCTCCTATCAGAAGTGAAGAGCTGGGACTGACCCTACGATGGGATGTTGGAAGCCGAGTCTCTGTGCGGTCTCCTCGATGTCCTGCTGCAGGTGGGGCTGGTACCTCTGCAGGTACAGCACGAACTGGGCGATGAACCACACAGACGGGTTACCGTGGAGACGGAGCAGTCTATCCGACAGGTCCTGGGGGATGCCCAGGGGCAGGTACGGGGGCCGCGGGTAGATACTGTCCACTATGGGCATCTCCACTACCTGGGTGTCTTTGGACTTTTCCTCACCTGTGGGATGATATCATGATTACAGTCAGGCCTGGACCAAGCCGTCACCTTCGTACAGTAGTCACCCGGCTATAGTGGTCATTTTTTGTGGGTCCCTATTTCCCCAATAGCCTATTAGTAAGAATTAAGTATTGCAGTTATGACTAGTTATGTGGTTTTCACTTTTAACGTGCAAAAGTTACATGTAAATCGCATTTAAATTGCAAAAAAGCCGTGTAACATGATTAAAAATTGTGCAAAAGCCGAGACAACTGCATGCAATTAGCTATTAGTATTAGATGCACTTACATTACATCTAATGATCTATGACGCATAACCACACAATTGATTGTGATTACACAAACATCTAAACACGCATTTTACATGAGAACTAAACGCAATTTAAAACGAGAATCGCGAGGCTTTAGCACAGCCTTTGCTCGCATTTCAATAAAGAAATTCACAACTTTTCATCACATTTTGCATGACTTGCATGCATGTAGACAAGAAGTTATTCCAGAACTGTACTGTACTGTACGCAAAAAAAAGGATTTTAAGCCCAGAATTGACTTCTCCAGAACCCACCTTTCCAGGGCCCCCTAGAGGACCCAGACGGGTCGGTGCATGTTTCACTAAGCGGTAGGAAGACTTTCTCCCAGCCCCCGCTGGAGTACCTCCACCCCTGTGAGTTGAGGATCATGGTACGCTCCGTGCCGTAGGCCACCATGAAGCAGTACACCACATGGTGGAGCTGGCACCCGTACCCACACCCCTTGTTCAGGTTACACAACAGCTTTTTGGCCTTGCTGCAGTCTTTGGGATTCTGGAACGCAGTGCATACAATGTTGTGAGATGAGGAGATTTCATACATGCCATTTACCACAATGAAGATGTCTGTATCAATGGCATCCAATGCAAGAAAACAATATATATTCTGGATCAGGAAAACTGTCTGATATTGATGTTTACTGCCATTTACATGTATTCGCACACATGAAGTGTTTAAAATAGCCCCATAACAAGCCAATAATAAGTAGTTAAGTCTAGCCTACCATATTATGAAACAAGCAACCATTTTTCGTCAGCGACGTTGCATTTTTGCCCCACAGACATCAGCATTCTATAAGATACGGTTAATTTAGCTTATTTAGTACATGTACTAAAAAAATGACCAGTAAATTGACTTTGAAAATCCAGTTTGACAGCCCTAAAATCACTTTCGGTTTTAATCCTCAAATACAGAAACAAGACGTTAAACAATATATTCTGCAGAACTGCTATGCACAACATTTTCCGAATTTCGCACTGGTGCAGAACTTTCTGCTGACGTGCACTTATTGGTCACTGTTAACATGTAGGGATAAACACCTGTAAATAGTGTAGTCTGCGCTGCACCAGGTCCTGTAGTGCCTGGGCCTCCTGTCTTCTCCACTCCAAACCTCCATCTACATCTCTCAGCTGCTGCGTATCTGATAGAATTGTTCTAACAAAAAAACAACAACACAGAAAACATTGAGCAAATTAAAAATGCGTGTAGAGCACTTTGAACTAATTCTTCTATTATAGCTAATATATGTAAGTATCAGATATTTTGTGGAAAACTTCTTTTAAATTGCTATATAATAGATCAGTTAGTCTTCATGCTTCATTTGTAAATAAAAAAATTCACAGGCAAAGGCAAGGGTGTCAAAATTACTACAAAGGTTCAGAGCATGACATGTTTGGTGAGTCAGACATACTTGACATAAGAATACTCTACATTTTTTTCCCAGGATAGAACATTAATGCAGTGGTCGAAATACTTTTTATCAGTGTTCTGCAATATTGCAGAAGAGTCAAAATTTTGTTCTGCAATTTGGAAATACTTTCTGCAAATACACAAGCCTCTATACTACAATCTTGCAAGTTTATAAGCATGGACTATTGATTGATATGCAAACTAGAGAAGACAAATTTTTGGAAGTCCAAAAGGAAACAAAAGATAGACAAGTCAAGACAAGGTTGATGCAAATTAGTGAAGAAGCTCCTGTTGTTTCAGAACAGGAGCTTAAGTGTTGTCTGTTTTTGGGGCCAAGAGCACCAAATCCCAAGTGCCAATTTTTCCTGCTGCAAAATTGCAGATTGTATAAATTTTTCTTCTGCAATGTTGAAAATCTATCTGCAGATTGCAGACTGCAGACAGGTATTTCGAACACTGTTAATGACTTTGTAATCCATTAAAGAATGTTGATCCAAAAAGTTGGCTTATGATTGGTTATATCGCACTGTTGTTCAATAATGCTCTGACTCTTCTCTTTTTTGTGGTCCATTGTGAAACTATTCATCATTATGGATTTTCACTTGACAGTTTCCAGATATTGAGTCTACAGAGTCTTTATTCTCATGTCAGAGATACTTATGGGACACACCCAGCCTGAAATACATCTGATTCATTTTATTGACACCCATTACGTAACAAGAAATCAAAGATCTCAAACCTCCATGAAATATTAATGTTCTTATGAATCTCTTAATTTATTTATCATTATATATATTTCTTCCTGATTCTGTCTATAGTATACATTCTCTCCCTGTTTAAAGCTAAAACTTTTGAATCAACACATTCAAGGTACATTTTCTCACCCAGAGCTTTCGAACGAGTTTCTCTGGTCTTACTTAGTAGACTGACGCAATGAGACTTGTCACGTGGCTTCTCTGAAGTGTTATGTCACCCATGACTTGGCCCAACATCATCTACCAGATACCTTTGACCCAGTGTTGACATCACACTTCAAAGAAGCCATGTGACAAGCCCCACTGGGTCATTTTACTGAGGAAGACCAGAGTGACTGGTCGAAAGCTCTAGGTGAGATAATTTACCTTGTGTTGGATGAAAAGTTTTAACTTTAAACGATACATATTGTTCACATATCACAAAAAGAAGAAGCTCCACCTCTGATGATCCCCCAGATCTGACAGCAGGTTGTCTATCCTATCCGTGACGCTTGCCGCCTGTGAGTCAGACTTCATGAGTTTGAGCTGTGCCTTGACCAGGTACCACATCTCCCGCACGCCGTTCTCCACCTTCCTCTGCAGCTGCTCGTGTCTCTTGCTGGGATAGTCCAGACTTCCCGCTGGAGCTGTCAAATGGAGGCTGACTGTTAGGATCTTGTCCATCATTCAGATCTTGTCACCATCTCATAAACTCTGAGATTATCAAATCATTCCAAATTCACATTTATATATCTAATTGAATTAATAAATCTATCAATCTACTTATTAGTAAGAACAGGATAGAACTGGGCAGTGATAACGTTCAATACGAATGTTCTGGCCCGTGTGATAACTTGGTTTATCACATGCATATGGGGTTCTAACTGTTATCACACACGCATGGGCACGTGTGTGATGAAAAGTCAGATCATAGTGAATTTGGACATAGGAATTGATGCTGTAACAATTTTTTGTTAGTGGACACCAAATTTTCTTAACATCTGCATTTTGCATTAAAAGTTGTTTTTTCTCAGGTAGGTACCTAGATAAAATACATATTCCGCATCACACTCAATCTCAGCCCTTCTGCAGGTTGGATCTCCCTCTGGCCTTTGGGCGATTTGACCCGTGGTTGGCTTGGTACCTCAGAATACACCGTGTTGTATTATGTATGTCTCAATTCGAGATAACGAAGTCAAAGTTGACATACCTTGCCTTGTTCTAGCACGAAAGTTCATCAGAATTGTTAAATTACGTACAATGATTTTATACAGCACTTGGGTCAGATAGCTGACAAAGACAGAGAGATAGCGCCTAAAATTCGTAGAAGAGTCAAATCATTTTCAGTACTGTTGGAGAACAGATTATTTCTCTTTAAGTCTTACCTTGTTGTTTATTACTGTTGGCATCGCTCTCACACTTGGCCAGTTGTTCCTGTAGGAGTGATACTCTGTCCACATCCTGAGACATCTGTACCTGGTCATGGTGTAGGTCACGAGCAGACACCCTGGAGGGTTGGGGGGGCAACAGGACACTTACTCTGACTAGGAACCAATATAGATGTAGGGCTCGAAATTCATTTCTGGGAATAGGTGCACTGGTGCACCCAACCTAAAGAATTAGGTGCACAAAAAGTTTTTGGGTGCACCATACACAACAAAACCTAATTACAGATCTCACTGGTCGTCTTCTGAGCTTGAATCTGAAATGGGAGTTAACTTCAAAATCTTACAAAACTACTACAACAAAATTATTTTTCTCACAGATTCTAAGGATATCCTGTATACTACTGTAACAATACATTTAGTATCATGTAAAAAAAACAACATACGTACAAACATATTTGGGTGCACTAGTGCACCCACAGAAATAAATTGGGTGCACAGCTCCCACTTTGGGTGCACTAAGGTGCACATGCACCCAGTATTTCGAGCCCTGTAGATGTGAAGTGCTGCTGTACAGTTAAAATCACAGGGGAACTGGAAACAATTTGGTGACCTTTGAAAATAACACACTAACATACAACTGTTTGTTTTAACCTACTGGAATTGGTGCTTGTTTTAACCATCCTTATAATAATAAGCACAAGGTGGTCTTGTTTTAAGCATTGTTGAATCTAAAGGTTCTGAGTTTGAATCCCTGGCAGGTACCCAGTGTCGTGCCCTTGGGAAAGGCACTTTATACTATAGCCATGTCCTCACTTGGCACTGCACGAAAAAAGGGATGAACCAATAACAATGTCTGGTAGGTCCAGTAATAGTTGCTTTAAGTTTACGCGACAACTGGGGTAGTATTGGTTCATCCCATCTTTTTGTAAATCCCGCTTTATTTTATATGCCTCCCAGTATTACCCAAAAATCTACTATGATCAAATATGGCAGGGATGACCCTACTTCTGTACTTGTTGGCAGCGAGTTCCACTCCAATGATAGTTCTAGGAAAAAAAGTTCATCCCATCTTTTTGTAAATCCCACTTTATTTTCTATGCATCCCGGTATTACCCAGAAATCTAATATGATCAAATATGGCAGGGATGACCCTAACTTCTGTACTTGTTGGCAGCGAGTTCCACTCTATGATAGTTCTAGGGAAAAAGTGATCCTTCTGGTCACTAAATCTGGTACTTAGATACATAGGTACATAATAGAAAACGAAGTTTGAGAAAAAAAGCAACCCTTGGTTGATAACTCTGGTACATGTACATGTAGTTAGAAGTAGCCATCCCTTTACATAAATAATAACTGACTTGTTATTTCCTGAGCCGGTATGAGGTACGTGACATGTCCACAGGACATTAGAATCTAGCAGAATTAAGTTGAAGCATAATGACTACTACAATTCACATGGAACAAAATCCCAATATGATGGGGAAAAGGCAATTTCCACCTGAACCTAATTTAGTGAGCTCTACGAGGTCACCTGAGTCATAGCGGCTAACCTGGGAGCAAATTATACCTGGCATTTATTGCAGGCCCTCTCTTGACCCAGGAACACAAAAGGGTCTTTAAATATTTATATGTCCAATTCCTGCCAGGATTTATCCATGTCCTAAATCAATTCACTCTGCAGCTGCTACAAATCTACTTATAAAGAGAGATGTAAAGCGGCTTGTGAGTGTGATTTGGGGCATATGATACGACTCTGGGTCAGGGAAATACAACTTTGCTATGAAGACGACACATCAATAATTCACATAAAAAACTTTCCTTCAAATCAAATACTTCACAATGAGTCTCTTATCTCCCCTGTGGTATCTATTAATTAAAAGTATGAATTGTTTGTTTCACTTTACTGATAAACTGCCTTTAGTTTAGGCACAACACTCTAGTTTTGTACAGTTGAAGTACAAGCTGCATAAGATAAGACTAGTGTAAGGTTTGCACCACTCACACAGAGAAGGATCCCTATAGCTACTCTTTTCCATGAGTGCATTGGGATTTTTAACATGCTCAAGATGTGGCTCTCCTCAAACACCTCCGGCTTCATGTCTTATATGAGAGGATGTCCCTAACTGATTCTTGTTAGGTACTCATTTACACCCGAGTTGAGTATCTGTGTGGGGGGAGGGGGGGATAGGACCTGGTGTAAAGTGCCTTTTCCAAGGACACAACAGTGAGGCCTGCTAGGGATTCACAACCTAGAACCTTTAGATTCTAAGTCAAGAATTTGGTAAAATTTGTCTGGTGCAGGTAATTTTCAACGTTACCTGCACCAGTGCAGGTTTGCAGCCCTGTATACAGGCACAGTTTAACCCGGACGTACAGTAACTGTAGATCTGAAGTTTTTTGCAGTACTTTTATATTCACAGTTTTTACGGTCACGTCTGTACAGCGAACTCATCATTACCGTCAACAAATAATTCACAAACTTAATTTTTGCTGCACCTGCTGACACCGCGAATGTATAATAAGTTCCACAAACATGTCCATTGTGCGTGTTCTTTGTTCTGTGTTTTTTGCTACTGCGAATATAAAGCGATTTACAGTAACAAAAACGTACCTGAGCTCGTCCGCCATTCGACGAAGCTCCTCATTCTGCTGCTTCATCTTCTCCAGCTCGGCCAGCGCGCGGGCCAGGTCGTGGGAGGACTTGGCGGAGGGGTCGCCGGTGTAGAAGTTGCCGAGCATGTAGACAAGAAGCAGCAGCCACAGCGCCAGGGTCAGCAGCAGGAACTTCATCATGGTTCCCATGGTTACGCTCGGGCGGACGGCACGGCCGCGGTCGGCCCCGGACACTAGGATGACGTGTCCTCAGTTCCTACTTCCTAATCCTGTCATTACCTGAAGGAAACAAACAAACAAACAAACACTCAAGTTACCTAGAATGCCATGTTACTGTTAGGAGCACAAAATCACTCCTCTTATAAAATTAGGCAAACACACATGCAATAGTAGCATGTTGGCAGAGCATACTAACCTGCAGAAATTAGAAACGTAATACCTGTATAGCACAGGTTTTGTTTGTGTATTTAGGGATGATATCCTGTCTGTGGTTTTCAAATGCCATGTTGGGAAAAGATATCTTATGCAACAGATAAAATTCTGGTTGCAATGTTGACCAAATAGAAAACAGAGACCGTGGTTTTGGGCAGGCACAGTATGTTCTGACAGGTACTGCCAGACTACAGTGACAGCTCTCTGTTTGAAATTTGACGCAATTTATGCTATAAATTCCAACAAACATTACTGTGGAAAACAGCTACATTGTAGTCTGTCTTGCAAATAGCTACAGGCATGGCTTGGGTCTAAGACAAAATATTACGATCATGGCCTTGACAATGTCTAGAAGTAGAACCCCCTCCAGTCTTCTAACTGAAGCCAGCTGATAGTAGCCTGGTTACCAAACCTATTATAGCTCCCGAGTCCTACATCCTCTCCACTATTTGCGGAGAGGATGTAGGACTCGGGAGCTATAATAGGTTTGGTAACCAGGCTAAGCTGATAGTCCAAGTGATGGATATCTAATGTTTGAAAAGATTCTACACATCTTTCATAATGTCGGCTACAAATCCTACCAGCCCCATGATATACAGTGATATATACTTCATACGCAGTGCATTTGATTCCCAACTGGCCATGAAAGATCTGTACGTCATGAAATGACATGCACGCTTACGGAGCAAAATCCCTGAATCCTTCTTATCTGAACCTTAAAATGAGCATCCATCCATCCCTTGGTCTATCATGAACCAACAGAAATCAAGCCACACAAACACTTCTTTTGCAGCAAAACCTTTCATACATACCTTCTTCTCATATCAGAAATCTCTGACACAGCTACATGTAATGTAATATATATGATAGTTCCCAGTTTACCAATTTATGAGTGGGAAAGAGACATGTGTGCCCTGACTGCACCCAATAAAGCCGCCCCTCCCCGCCACTCTGACCTGACCTCTCACCACACGTGGCTCCTGGCCAAGACTTTCTACAATATGGATCAATAATGTGGACTTGATCTTCCCACAGCACATGTAAGAACCATTAAATGTGGAATGGCTGGCCATGTCTTATACATTTTTTTTATTTAAAGAGACGGTAAGGGACAAAGGACTACTGAATGGCTTTAATAATTCAATAATATTTGCCGGGACTGCTCGGAAAATTATAAGAAAACTTGCAGAAACTGGAACTATATATATATTATTATTATGCAGGGTTCAAATTATGTAAAGATGCACATTTGTACAAGAGGAAAAATTTGTAGCACCAATTTTTTGCTTTCACAACGTTAAGTTTCAGGAAGAATGCTAGCACATATTTTAACCATAAAAATAAAGTTCACTTTTCAGTAACTGCTGTCTAGGTCCATAAGGGGCAGTTATTTTCCATAATAAATATAACACACTGGAAACTGATTTATTGTTAACCTTTTCCTATCATTTACTGGATACTTCTAGTAATCCACAAAACTACTTGATTGCACTGATGCAAGTGCAGTCAAAAATTACGTATACATACAATTTTACGTGACAAAAATGTGCATGAAAAACAAGAAAGATTTTCCTGGACATGTGAATCTGTAGTTATAATCTTTGCAACTATAACTGGGAAAACTGAAAAAATCTTTACCTTTTAAATGCCTACATCCATATACCTGCATGTCCACGTACCTAGCCTGTACCAAGAGCCGTGACTTGTTATTCTACCGTTTCAGCCTGACTGACAATGAAAATATTGATGCTGCCATCCTACACAAAGGGCACGTGACAGCCTGGATTGTCCACCTGCTACAGAACTGATTGAATGAGAAGACAAAAGCAGGGTGCACAACCTTTCAACCACAAAGCCTCAATCTGTTTCTGTTTGTGAGAATAATTTGTTTGCACTTCCTGCTAAATCCAACTGTTATTTCAAAATCGTGAAACTGAAAGGGTGCCATTTTGTTGCAGTGAACAAGGCTCAAAATGCCACCTGCAGTTTAGTACAGATAAAATTGGAGCTGTGCAGGTATTTCTGATATCTATCTGCACCTAACCTGCACTGGTCCATGTACTGGGTATATGCAGGTTAGTGCAGGTAAAATTGGAGCTGTGCAGGTATTTCTGATATCTACCTGCACCTAACCTGCACTGGTCCATGTACTGGGTATATGCAGTTAAGTACAGGTGAAATTGTAAAAAGGTATTTCTGATGTCTACTTACATTTTTTTCAATCTATCAATGCCATGGTTTGGAGAAAGGTTAGAAACATTGTTTAAATCATAAACCTGACTGGTATGATGTCATAGCATTTGGGGCTATCATAGTCTAGGCCTGTCTTTATCTTTTATTTTTTGCTGTCGCTTCATATATTTTCCAAAAAAATCTGAGAACCAACAAATCAATTTGATGCAGCCTTATTCAATCCTCCTTCTCTGAGATGACACATCATTGTCTAGTTACTTATAGGTCTATGATGGAGCAGTGCTGAGGTTTCTATGTGGCGTGAACCGATCAATCATATACTTGCAATTTCCAAATAAAAATCAATACAAATCACACCTGCTCCCTCAGACAACCTGACTCACCCTTCAAAACACATGACCTGAAAACAGACTGTCTCCCTATCTATCTATCGATCTGTCATACTGAGATTTTATCATTCCAATAGCCTATGATTCAGCAGATTTCTAAACAAACTGCCCTGCAGTTCCAGAACAAGCTGCTAGGTGGTCCAAACTCATGTTACTTGGTCCCAAGCACCAGAGCTATCTGCCAACCAAAATTTGTGACCCAAGCATGTTAAGATCAAGAGAAACCAAAACCAGAGGTTGTACTGCAGTATTCTAACAGGCCACCAGGGGGCCCAAAATCTGTTCGTTTTGAGGTGTCATCAAGGCCCTCCTACGTATACATGTATACAATCCAACCAGGCCATAAACTTATTGTGTTCACACATACACACAGACAGACACACGCGCTACCCAAAACATGACCTTCTTCTTAAATATCAGGCTCGCCTACGCATAGGATCAAAAAAGTGACCAATTAGGCTTTACAAGGATTTAACGACAACGCTTAACATTGAAATAGAGTGGGCCTGCTATGATTAATGGTGAATTAAAAGACCTCGCTACACCTCACGGAAGAACTTCAAAAAGGCAGACAGACCATTTTACATGCACTGATGCAGGTTATATATGCAGGATAACCTGTACTAGACAAATCCTACCATTCAAATTGTGGATCATATTGGAAAAGTGTAGTTGGTAGTTGCACGTTATAGGTACAGGTCTTCAGGAATGCCTGCACTAACCTGCATTTGCAGGTGATATCTGGGGTCAATTTAAAGAAAAAATTCTGATGCTCTCTAGGATGAATGTATTGTAAGCTTTATCTGTAGTCATCCAGGTTCACAACAATCATCCTATGCCTCATAAAAAATTCACAAGACACTTTGTCTACTGACAGAGAAGCAGATAGACATCAGGTATGTACTAAAGGGTCACAGTCCTATCATTGCAGCTACAGATTTCAGATACGAGATAGAGAGCATCAAATTATAATCATTTCAACAGAATGGATCCACATTACTCTGCAGATTGCATACTTCATAGGAGCTCACTGGACTATAGTCTAAACTAGGGATGGGTACTGGTTTAGCTGGACTGGGTCTGACTTGGAATAACATCCAAGAACTGAGTCCAAACAACCTGAAAGTCATGAACCAACTTTTTATTAGACTCATATCATTAAACCCTACAGTTGAGTCACTATCTTCTTTCCTTTCCAGGTTCCTTTTATCAACTACATGTAATATAATTGCCATTTCCAACATAGGATTTAATCACAGCAATGCCCTAATGAAAGATGCTGAGATGCTACACATGTCTCTGGCACAGCCGCCCTAAAATTCATGTTGATCATGATAAAGGATATTGAATTCCTATCTGTGCCACGGAAGCAGTAATTGCTTGGACATGTTCCAAATGCAGGGCTTGAAGTTTCTTTTGGGGAATATATCGGTGCACTTCAGTGCATCTAACCTAAAAATGATGGTGCACTGAAAAAATCTGAGTAAGATTAACACATAACATTGTTTCAAGGTTTGAAAAATTGCATTGAGCCTAGATTATTCTAAGTTCTAACTTACAACTTTTAACAAAAGATATAACAAAGGTTCTACTATCATTTTTCTCACACAGTCACACAAATGTCAATAATATATTGTAACCCTACACAAAATTTAGGTACACCCACAGTTTAAAAACTAGCCACACAGCTCCAAGTTTGTGTGCACAAATACGCACTTGAGTATTTTGAGCCAATGATTAAAATGGCCAGCAGAAATTATGCAGCAGCACTAGTTATATGCATAGTGCATAGACCATATGTACACTGTACAAAATGTACATGCAGGGCTTCAAAAACCTGCAAAGGTGCAGGTAACATTGAAAGTTACCTGCACCAGACAAATTTTACCTGCACTATTCAAAATTTAAGAAGTATGGATCATAAACCTGTTCAAAAACATTGACATTATTTCTTTAGTACTCAATGCAGCAAATAAAAATCCTACATTTACATATATAATATAAACCTGGTACATGGACCAGTACAGGCTACTTACAGGTAGATATCAGAAATACCTGCACAGCTCCAATTTTACTTGCACTAACCTGCATGTGTAGGTGGGATTTCCAGCCCTGATAGCTACAAAGACTTGTCTACATGTAACCTTACATGTAATTTTCCCCCATACCTCTTCCTGCTGTATGTTCCCAGACCACTTCAGACTGTCACCACGCACGGCTGCAGTAATGATGGATATCACAATTCTGCAGGCACCATTTCTGTCC